AGTTGGCCAAGCCAATGGCCCAGGCAGCTGCAGCCAGACAAGAGCATGCCCTTTGGCTCATCAGAACACCATAGCGCAGCGGGTGGCAGATGGCAGCATAGCGGTCATACGCCATGACCCCCAGCAGCAGGCACTCGATCCCCCCAAAGGAAATGAAGAAGTACATCTGAGTGAGGCAGCCAGGAAGCGAGATGGACTTGTCCTGTGACAGGTAGTTCACCAGCATCTTGGGCACCGTGGAGGTGGTGTAGCCTATGTCCACCACTGACAGATTGCCCAGGAAGAAATACATGGGCGTGTGGAGCCTGGAGTCCATGCTGATCATCACTAAGATAAGTAGGTTTCCCACCAGGGTCATCAGGTAGAAGACTGTGAAGAATCCAAAGAGGATGAACTGGTCTTCCAAGCGGCTAGAAAGGCCCAAGAGTATAAATTTTGTCACCGTCGCCATGGTGCCATTCTCCCTCCTGGCGCATCCCAGAGGGTCATTCATCTAGAAGGAGAGTAAAGATGACTCAATGCTTATAGCACTAAACCAAGACTGGGGTAAGGGGGGACCTAAACAGAGTCACTATGCAGGATTAGACAGGTCACTTAATACACACCTACACCATCTCAGAACCAAACCTAGGAGAACCACTGTGAAGGATGATCCACTCACTGCCTCCCACTATAAATGCCAGAAAAGAGACAAGGCAGTTGCGTTAGAGAAGCACTGAGTGTGCACCAATAAGCACAGCCAAGATACCTTTGAAAGGATCTTAAGGCACCCCAGGTTGTTGCAAGGTATCATACAATATTAGCACTTAGGTTTGCACACATGATTCACAAGATAAACCCAGAGATTACAAATACAAATCCATTGTTGTGCTCTGTCTGAGCTCTTTGCAACAGAAACTCCCCCCCCCACTCTTATTTTTCTGTAGGCAAAAAAAAAAAAATGTGAAAACTAAGATCTAGCACTTTCCCAGGGATGCTTCACATCTATGCAAGGGAGCCTCGAGTCTAACCAGAGGTGCACTGAATGCAAAAAAGCTGAGAACCACTGCTCTATGCGGTCACATTCACAAAGGTACCCAAGTGGGACTTTCACATCTCTCACTGAAAGCAAGAGAACTCAGCAGATGACATGTTTTTGAAAAAACCTACTTGGGGCTTAAGAGCCTAGCGCAGGTCTGAGAAGGAACATAGGCACCCAGGTCAAAACTCTGATCCTGACAAAACCCCACTTTGGACCCTAAAAGTGCCTTGTATGCCTGAGTCTTTTATTTCTGTCACCTATGCTTAACTATGATTCAGAAAATAAGGGTCAGATTCTATTCCACCTATTAACACGGCTACCAAGTACACCCCTGAAACATGGAAGATGCTGAATTTCAGCCAATTTTGGATTTTAAACTTCATTGCAGAACTACAAGGAAGTATTTTTACTTCCCTGCCTCCCATCTGACACCTCCAGGGAAGGACTTCTACCTGATCAACACATCAAAGAGCTACTCAACACAGCTCACAAAGACGCTCTCATGGACCCAGAAGGACAGGCTTCCATCTTCAGCTCCCTCTGAAGTTGATTTCCTACCTATGGGGACTTTTTACCCTCCTGTACCATCTACACTTTTCCCAGAGCCTGACGAAGGGACTTTGATCCCGAAAGCTTGCAGAAAAGGACAATTTTCTTGCCATTTTCCAGTTGGTCTAATAACCATTTTGGAACCAAGAGTTCTAGTTTTTTGTATATTCCACCTATTAAACACCGAAGTGGACTTAGGTGCCTAAATGTGAGTCTTTTCCACCCTGATCCAATCTCTGAAAAACTTAATGCAAAAGGTGAGCTTATCTTCCTCCTCCCCACTGCTCTTTTGTGACTCAGTCCCAGGGTCCCAACCTTGAGGCTGGGAGAGAATACCAAGCTAGGTGGAAACATTGGTTAAAGCTTGATTGGCAGGTTGGGAAATATTGCCCTAGCCTGGCCCATTGATTTGATTTAGAGCCAAAAGGAAAGGATATATTATATCAGGTAGAGCCATGGTTCTGACTCCACTGCTCTGACTGGAAATGAAGGGATAGAGGACATTTAACATAGCAGGGCTACTGTGTTAGATGGGTCCAGCTATCTAATAGAGGGTGTCAGGCAAAAGGAGATGTTGGGCTGACAGACCCATTGGGCCAACAGACTTGGGCGGGCAAGGGAGAGAGGATATTAGGCTAGATACCCCATTGGTCTGATCAAGGGCAGTAGAGGTGAGCATGCTAATTATATACACCAGCAACTGGTCTGGCACATACATTCCTATGTAAGAAAACTGACCCGCAGTGCAATCTTGAACCCTCGCCTTTTTTTCTTTTTAGCAAAAATAACCTTACCTGACAGGGAGGCATTGCTGTCTCCCATCAAAGAATCGCCTCTGCACTTCTGCAACCCCATCCTGGTGGGAAAGGAGCATCTCCCGACACAGCCCATCAGCCACCGAGTGCTGTGTTGTACTAATAGCTGAAAGCCTGGCTAAGCAAGTGCAGGGCTGGCATAGATATTGCAGTGGTCTCCCTGGGGAGTCACGCATCAGTTCTCGGTGCTTTGCAGACATTGTTTCAAGTGATTTCCAGAAGAGTTGTTTCTTGAGTGCTGTATTAGTGAGCAGAGCTTCAACAGATTGAACGTCAAGAAGACAATTCTTCTTTTTTTTTTTTAGAGGGAGAAATACACTTTACACACTGATCTTTATTTAGCAAGGCTCTTTCTCAGGAACGCTTTAAATGACTCTACATTTGTGCCCTTAAGTCTTGCCAAGATAGAGGCACAGACAGGTTTTTGAATGTTTAGATGTGCCAGCCAGAGACTTAACAACCAGGGTCTGTGCCTTGGGTGCCAGCAGCAGTGGCTGCCATTCTTGTGCCCCCTCGCTCTAGGCACCTGAGGCTGGTGCCCTAGTTGCCCACCTCTTGTTACACTACCGGGGTCAGCTAGTAAACGGGAATCTTCCTCCAAATTACAAGGATAATTCATGTAGACAGATCTGAGACGAATCCTCTGAAATCTGCATCCCTTTTATCCATCTGAGTCTCTCCCTGCATCCTAGAATTGCAAAGTTATGAGACCGGGTAGAAATTGTTACAGTCAGATCATCTGCCATTGTACATCAATGGATTTTTTTATTAAACTAAGGGGAGTTGCATGACAAAATCCCTTAGGTAGCTCTGAAAAATTTCAGCTTTTCTCTAAAAGACCTATCTATCTACACTAACTCCTCTCTGGACTGACATGCAATGTATTTTGTGGCCCAAGAAATATGTTATATTGAAATGTGGGACTTCTGAACAAATAAAAAAATCATTAAAAACAGCATTTTCCAGTAAAGTTTCAAGTTTCAAAAAAAAGCTTTGAAACTAAAAATATAAAGAATGAGGTAGAAGGTCAATATTTTTCACCCTAAGATGGTGAGGGAATTTTTACTTTCAGGGTTTTTTAATTATTATCCTTTCTCCTTTTTTTCCCCATTGATATGAGAGGCAATAAAGGGTATAAGTTTAGCATCTTTATAAGGTGCTATTATGAGGAAGGCACCTTAGCACCTTCAACCAGAGGTGAAAAGCAGAGGAAAAAACCCTCATATCCCTATTTACTTGTTCCCATTTGAAAAATTGGGGAAAAAACTAGAAGCTCAAGTAAGTGGGTGTTCTTTTCCTTTATTTTATATCTTTTTTTTTTAAACAAAAAAGGTGCAAACATCCAATTTAAAACAGAAAGGATATTTTCAAAGCAAAGCTGTATTTTTTTTACTGAAGGAAACAAAAAATGCATATTTCATTTTTTTTAATGCCAATTTTAATTTTTGCAGTAAATATCAGTGTGTCTCTTGGCAGCCTTTCAGGTTATCCAGGGACACAGCCCAGGTGTGGAGTCTAGTGAAGGTGAGCCCATGTCTCCTTGGGCTCACTTGGCCCCGTCGCTGCCTCTGTAGCTCTACAGATAAGCTCAAGCAGCTGTAGGACGTAACTGGGGTTTCATTCTTTAACAGGAACTGGCAAAACCAGAGGTGAAATGCAGCGAGGCAAGGAGCCCTTCTCAACCCAGTCAGCATGTGTTAAGTGTGATCCTGTTCCAAGGTTGCTAAGTCAAGTCTAAGCAAAGTCCTCGTCAATAAGACATGTCCACTGTCCAGGCCGACGCAGCTGCGTCCCTTTTTGGGTCATACTATCTTAGTTTGAGTCCCAAGGTCTAAGGCATGACCCCCTTTCAGCTCAGTTTTCCCACACTGGATGTCTTTGATCCATCTCCTGCAGACATCACCCTCAAATGCACTGAATGGGACATCCAAGAAGAGCACATACCAACTGATGAAGCTTCCTTAGCCTGACGAAGGGTTTTTGAACCTGAAAGCTTACTTAATAACTATTCTCCAACCATTTGGGCTGGTCTAATAAAAGATATCAAATTCACCCAAGGAACCTTGTCTGAATGGGACAGGTGTTTTTCCACATGTAAACTGATCTATTCGATACTTGTTGGACATGCTCTACCAGCCTCAACAGCTACCCACAGAAACTAACCTCTTACCCCCTACTCCATGTCCATGGTGAATATTATCCCATTCCTTCCCAGTGTTAAGTGCAAAACATTGAGAAAAGGAAACTGAGGCATGCATAGAAACGTACCACAATTATAGAGTCATAGAAAATTAGGGTTGGCAGGAGGTCACCTCTAGTCCAGCCCCCTGCTCAAAGCAGGACCAGCCCCAACTACATCATCCCAGCTGAGGCTTTGTCTAGCCAGGTTTTGAAAACCTCCAAGGATGGAGCTTCCACCACCTCTCTGGGTACCCCGTTCCAGTGTTTTACTACCCTCCTAGTAAGAAAATTCTTCCTAATGTCTAACCTCAACTTCTCTTGCTGCAATTTGAGCCCATTGCTCCTTGTCCTGTCGTCTGCCACCACCGAGAACAATCCAGCTCCATTCTCTTTCAAACCCCCTTCAGGTAGTTGAAGGCTGCTTTCAAATCCTCTCCAAGTCTTCTCTTCTCCAGACTAAATAAATGCAGTTCCCTCAGCCTGTCCTCATAAGCCACGTCCCCCACACCCCTCACTGGCTAGGGGGTACCTCTCCCCACACCCCACACTGACTAGTCTCCCTACCCTGGGGACAGAACTAGCACCCTGTGCCCTATTCCCCACCCTTTGGAGCCAGGTAGCTAGCTCCCCCACCCACAAGCTGGCATCCCCATGCCTCCCTGCCAGGAGGAAAGGCCCCCCATCCCATTTCTTGGCCTTCCCCCATCATCAGGCCCATATGGCAATGACAGCCATGAATGTGAAGCCAATGCCAATGAAGAAGAATTTGGCCAGCGGAGCCTCTGAGGAGTGCAGTTCATGGGGCAGGATCTCTATGAAGGTGACATAGAGAAAAGTCCCAGCTGCCACCCCCTCCAGTACAGCCCTGGCCAGGCTGCTGGCATCCCCCCCAGAAAACGAGACCCCAATGCCCACAGCAATGCCAGCAGGGGACATAAGGGCAAAAAGCACCAAGTAGACCAGCCTCCAGCGGGCCCGAGTGCCGCTCTGCACTAGCTTGAGGGCCAGGCTGAAGACCACGATGGCCTTGTGGACCAGAACAGCTCCACAGAGCTGCAGCACTTCTGTTTTGTCCCGCTGCACCCCAACAGCCAGCCCCTCGAAAACAGAGTGGAAGGAGAGCGAGACGAAGAGCACCAGGGCCCGGAAGGAGCTGGGTGATAGGGCGCTGTCCTTGGGGTCTTTGTCGGATGCTGCAGCTCCATGGGAATGAGTGGCTGAAGGGCAGCAGTGAACCACCAGGCTCTCGATGAGGAAGACCAGGAAGAAGCCACAGGAGATGATGAGCTCCCCAAAAGGGTAATCCAGCTACGAAGTAGGGGGAGAGGGATGAGGAGATGCCAAGAGAGAGAGGGAAAGACATACTGGATTAGAGGGATATTTGCATACAAGCCTCTCCACAACCTCCCATATCTTACAGAGCATATATGCTAAAAACAGAACTAGTTAGGAAAACGAGGTCTACTCTTTACAACTGGGAGGCTGAAAGCCAGGACTCCGGGGTCCATCCCTAGAGCCGAGAGTGGAATGAGGTCTAGTGAGTTAGACCCTTACTAAACCCTGCACCTTCCTTTGACCGAAGGGTAAAACCCAGGAGTTTTGGGTCCCAGCCCCCTTGCTCTAACAGGAGGGGGCTATAAGCCAGGGCTCCCTGGCTCCAGTAGAGAAGCGGGCCAAGTGGGACACGGGGGGAGGGAAGGGCTAGAAACCGAGGCTCCTGGGCTCTATTCACAGCATGGGGAGCAGAGGTCTGATCGGGGACCAGTCATTCCCCTCCCAAACGTCCCCTCTCGCATCCTGTCTCCAGCCATCGCTCTTTCTTCCACTGTCTGGCACAGGGGTGCTTCTGGGCCCTCACCTCAGCTTTGCCATCATCAGCCCCAGACGAACTGTTTGCGCTCCCTGTGACGTTCTGGCTAGGACTAACCTGTAGGCAAAGAAAAGCATTAGACAGTGCTAGGGGAGGGGAGGAAGGCCACGTTTCTTAGACCTCAATTGTACATAGCAGCCCTCTGGTTTGCACACCGGCACCCAGGTTCCTGCTGCACCCTG